AACAACAGCAAGCAAATCATCACGTTATCAGCCCACTACCAAAGGTTGATTTCCCACACTTTGATGGAACTGGACCAAGAGCTTGGATATTGAAGTGCAATGGTTATTTCAAAATTATTCCTAACATTCCAGATCATCAAAAAATAACCTTAGCATCAATGCATTTTGAAGGCAAGGCGGCACAGTGGTTTCAGAGTTTTAACTGTAAGTGTGATGATATCACTTGGACCCAGTTTATTGAAATCATCTCAGCAAGGTTTGAGGAATTGAAGGAATAAAAAATCATAGGGGAATTCAACAAACTAAGGCACACAGGGTCTTACTTGGACTATGTGGAGAAGTTTGAAGAGTTAAAGGCTTGCATGCTATGCATGAATCAGGGATTTACAGAAGACTACTTCATTGCTAGTTTTATCAGTGGGTTGTCTGAGGAACTACAGCCATTCATAAACATGTTTGAGCCACAAACACTGCAACAAACCATAGAACTTGGTAAGAAACAACTCATTACCCTAGAAGCCATCACAAAAAAACTCAAATACCCACCCAAAAACCAAACAAACACTTACCAGTTTCCCAAGAAAATGGATGCTCACATCCCTAACCCCAATCCCAACAAACCCAATCCCAACTTCAAAAACCCAGTCAAGCTGCTCACTGCCTCTGAAATGGCAGCAAGAAGGGAAAGAGGTTTGTGTTATAACTGTGATGAACAGTTCACTTATGGGCACAGATGCAAACATAGGCTAAATTACATGATTATGACAGAAGAGGAGGAACTCAACTACCTTAATTCTTCCAACCAAGTTGAGGAGATGACAGACCAAGCTGAACCCATTGATGAAGTGCAAATGTCCTTAAATTCTATATCAGGTGAAGATGGACTGACCACAATGAGGGTGTTTGGCACTGCCAAGGGACACAAACTACATCTACTCCTAGACTCAGGAAGTACCCTTAGTTTCATTCAAGCTAGCACAACTCACACATTGGGACTCAAACTGTTATCAGCCAAACCCTTGAGAGTAAAGGTGGCCAATGGGCAAAATATGATCAGTTCACACATTGTGGATGAGTTTCAGTGGACCATGCAAGGACAAGTTTTCAAATATTCACTAAGGGTCTTGGATAATGTGGGATGTGATGTTATATTGGGTGGGGATTGGCTCAAAAGTTGTACTCCAATTGAGCTAGACTATGAAAACATGAGTTTCACAGTTACCTTAGATGGAAAGAAGGTCATGGTTCAAGCCTTGAAATCAGAGGCTACATGCAGGTTTATCTCAGGACCTTCCTTGTATAAACTCATTCATGAAAGTGCAGGTGACACAATTGAGGAGGTGTACTGGGTGGCAGTCAACAAGACTGACCAAGTTAATAAGAACCATGAGCTTGAGGTCATTCTGAAGAAATATGAGGATGTGTTTCTAGAACCCAAGGGGTTGCCACCTAGCAGGGAAATTGAACATCATATTATTCTCAAACCTGACAGCTCACCAAAGCATCAATTTCCTTACAGAACCTCTCACAATCAAAAAGGAGAAATAGAAAAAATAGTCAAGGAAATGCTGGAATCTGGGATCATACAGGAGAGTAGGAGCCCTTTTGCTTCTCCTGTAATATTGGTAAGGAAGAAAGATGACACCTGGAGGTTGTGTGTTGACTATAGATACCTCAATGGTCTGACAGTAAAACATGACTATCCAATACCAGTGATAGATGAGCTTTTGGATGAACTACAGGGGGCCAGGTATTTTTCTAAAATTGATTTGAGATCAGGATACTTCCAAATCCTAATGAACAAAGAGCATAGATACTTGACAGCCTTCAGGACACATAATGGTCACTATGAATTTTTGGTCATGCCTTTTGGATTATGCAATGCTCCTGCCACCTTTCAATCACTCATGAACAGAATTTTTAGACATTTGTTAAGGAAGACAGTTCTAGTCTTCTTTGATGACATTCTTATCTATAGCCAGAGTTGGAATGAGCACCTACAACACTTGGAACAAGTGTTACTCTTACTCAGGCAGCATCAACTCTTTGCTAAGAAAAGCAAATGCCACTTTGGGCAATCTCAAATTGAGTATCTGGGGCATAAAATATCTGATCAAGGGGTCTCTACTGATCCACAGAAAATTGAAGGCATGGTTAAATGGCCAACTCCTACCAACCTTAAACAACTAAGGGGTTTTTTGGGCCTTACGGGTTATTACAGGAAGTTCATCAAAGGTATGGAATGATTAGCAAACCCTTGACAGAACTTTTGAAGAAAGACCAGTTTAAGTGGGGGCATGTACCAGAAGAAGCTTTTCAGAAACTAAAAGATGCCATGATAAGAGCCCCTGTACTAGCCCTACCTGACTACAACCAACCATTTGTGTTGGAAACTGATGCAAGTGGAAAGGGAGTGGGTGCTGTGCTCATGCAACAAGGAAAGCCAATTGCTTACATGAGTAAAATGTTGTGTCCTAGAAATCAAGCTCTCTCTGTTTATGAAAGGGAGTTCCTTGCTGTTCTTATGGCAGTTCAAAAATGGAGGTATTATTTGCAAGGACATAAGTTTTTCATTAAAACTGACCAACAGGCACTCAAGTACCTGCTGGACCAGAGGGTTGTTTCCCCCATGCAACAAAAATGGATAACCAAACTTTTGGGTTTGGACTATGAAATTTTATATAAAAAAGGAGTTGAGAACAAGGCTGCAGATGCCCTTTCCAATAGAGGGGAAGAAGACCCTATTTGTATGGCTGTTTCCCATGTGATTCCTTTGTGGGTACAAGAAGTGCAAGACAGCTACAAACAAGATCCCTATTTTGCCAAAATCCTAGCAGCCAACATTATCCAAGAGAATTCCTACGCTGGGTTCACTATTCAAAATGGGGTCATCAGGTATAAAGGCAGACTTAGCATTGGCAACAAAGAGGAGCTAAGGCATACCATACTTTCAGCTATGCACAATTCTTCATATGGTGGACATTCAGGAATTTTTGGTACCTACATGAGGCTGAAAGGGGTTTTCTATTGGCCCCACATGAAGGCTGATGTTACTAAATGGGTGCAAAGTTGTGATGTATGCAAAATCAGTAAGGCTGACACAAGTCCTTACTCAGGACTCCTCCAACCTCTTCCTATACCAGACCAAGCATGGACACACATTGCCATGGATTTTATTGAGGGACTCCCAAAATCTGGGGGAAAAGATGTCATATGGGTGATCATTGATAGGTTTACCAAATATGCACACTTCATCTCATTGACTCACCCCTTTACTGCTCCTACTCTTGCTAAGATTTTCTTGGACACTATCTACAAGTTGCATGGATTACCAGTGAGCATAGTGTCTGATAGAGACAAAATATTCACTAGTACCTTTTGGAAGGAGTTATTCAAACTACTAGGGGTCAAATTGACTCTTTCTTCTGCCTACCACCCCCAAACAGATGGGCAGTCAGAAAGACTCAATCAGTGTCTTGAGAACTATCTGAGGAGTATGGTATACTCTACTCCTAGACAATGGATTAAGTGGCTATCATTGGCTGAGTACTGGTACAACACTAATTACCACACCAGCCTCAAGACCACTCCTTTCCAGGCACTTTATGGTTATACACCACCGAATTTTTCTCTGGGGCCCTATTTGGATACTATGAACACAGAAGCTAAAGACCTTATACAACAAAGGCTTACCATGTCACAACAACTCAAAGAAAATCTCACCCAAGCTCAAGAAAGAATAAAAATGTTTGCAAACAGGAAACGGGAAGAAAAGCAATTTTCAGTGGGTGAACATGTATTTTTAAAACTCAAGCCTGTTCGACAAAATTCCGTAAGCCTCAGACAAAATGCCAAACTCTCTGCTCGTTATTACGGCCCATTCACTATACTCGAGAAAATAGGGGAAGTTGCTTACAGGCTGGAGTTACCTGAGGGAGCTCGTATTCACCCAGTCTTCCATGTTTCCCTTTTGAAACGCCGCGTACCCCCTCTGACCGGTGTTCTTCCTTGGATTCCTGATATGCCAAAAGAAGAGGACATCAAAATCGAACCTTTGATGCCACATGCTAAAGGTATTACTCTCAGGAGCGGAAGAGAACTTACCCAAGTGTCAAAGCTGACGAGTTTTCCGGCGACTGAATTTCTCACACAGAGATCTGGATCTTTTGTCGATTGCCATCATCCATTTACAGATCCTTGGGGACAAGGATCTCAAATTGCGGGGGGTATTGTCATGGACTCAAGTATAGAAGGTCTTGAGGAGGGAAAAAATCAGGAAATTGCCGATAAAGTACGGATCTTTGAAGATGGCGAAGAGAAAGGGATAAGGGTTTCCGGCGAGTCGACAAAAAATGAAGGCAAAGAGTCAACGTTAGAGCTCAATTAGGGAAAAAGCCGTCTATGTTAGTTGGGCTAGAAATTAGTGGGCTACGTATGATATTATTATTATTTGAAAAACAATGTTACTTATTTGGGCTTTGTTGTTATTTTAGCCCAAGCAGTTATTTTAGGGTGGGACCCATCAGTTGTATTAAATGTGTGATGAATGAAGGGAAGATCTTTAAGCAGCAATATTCTGTTACATTCTCTCTCAGCTCTCTCTCTCTCTCTCTCTCTCTCTCTCTCTTCTTATCCTTCTACCTATCTCTTCTCATTCCCTGCAACTATGTCTTCCTCAATCTAAATCTACAGCCATTTCTAAATAATACATATAAATTACAATTAGTTACATCGGAGTTGTAACACAAATTTACAACACTTATTCATTATCTTTCTATATAAAAAAAAATTATCGTATAAAATTTACACATATGTGTTATATTTATAAATAATGTATTTGATTTAGATATTGCCTCTCTGGCTCACTGAACATTGCCAAGGTGAATTAAAGCATCATCTTGTGCAAAATCAAGCAGAGTAATGACAATTTGATCACTCACAACTTTAAAGTACTCCAAAATCAGTATGGAATAATAGGGATGTTAATTGTGATAGGGAATATGCTTGACATACAACATACTCCATGCAACAGCAACTTCTCGGCCTACGACCTCAACCGCCTCAGCTGCGAGGGTTCCCCTATAATGATGTCCCCTGGAACCAGTCCCCTTTCGCCAAGGCCCAATGGTCTGAGTCCGACGACCCACCCGCGACTCTCCCAGACGGGCCTCATCGGTTCCCTCGTGCGCGAAGAGGGCCACATTTACTCCCTGGCTGCCAGGGACGACCTCCTCTACACTGGCTCCGATAGCAAGAACATCCGCGTCTAGAAGGACCTCAGCGAGTTCGCCGCCTTTAAGTCCAACAGCGGCCTTGTCAAGGCCATCATCATCTCGGGTGACCGCCTCTTCACCGGCCACCAGGACGGCAAGGTCCGCGTCTGGCGAGCACCCACCCACAAGCGCATCGGCACCATGCCAAACTTCTTCGACATCTTCAAGGCCTCCATTCGGCCCCGCCTCAAGAACCGCAAGGACCTCCTCCCCGTCAAGCATGCCGATGCCATCTCCTGCCTCAGCATCGATCACGACAGGCGCTTCCTCGACTCCGCCTCGTGGGACCGCACATCAAAGTCTGGCGAGTCAACTCGAAAAGCGTAGAGTCCATCCGCGCCCACGACGATGCCGTGAATTCCGTGGTGTCGGCAGCCGGAGGGGTCGTGTACACGGGCTGCGCGGACGGGAAAGTGAAGGTGTGGCAGAGGGAGGACAAAAATGGGGGGAGGGCGAGGCACGTGTGCACGCAGACGCTGCTGAGTCAGGAGTGTGCAGTGACGGTGCTGGCGGTGAGTGGGGACGGGTCGGTGGTTTACACTGGGTCTTCGGACGGGCTGGTGAACTTTTGGGAGGTGGGGGGAAAGGATGATAAGCAGCTTGTGCACGGAGGAGTGCTTAAAGGGAATAAGTTGGCGGTGTTGTGCCTGGCGACAGCTGGGGGCTGGTGTTCAGCGGGTCAGCGGACATATACGTGTGGATGAGGGAGGGGGCGGTGCACACGTGTCTGTCGGTGCTGACGGGGCACAACTGGTCGGTTAAGTGTCTGGCGGTGGAGAAGGATACAGAGATGAAGTGGGTGCTCTACAACGGGAGTCTAGATAAGTCGGTCAAGGTGTGGAGCATGTCAGAGACGGCACCAAATATCGGGAGGATGGGGGTGGTGCAGGGGGATTTCAACTGGGATTCCATACCCTCGGCCATGTACTGATCTGTAGAGTAAAGATGACAATATGACATACGAATTAAAACGAGAAAAGTAAACAACACAAGATTTACGTGGTTCGGCAATGTGCCTACGTCCACGGCGGCCGAAGAATCTTTATTATTCTCAATAGTCTCAAATACATCAATACACCATATATTTATACTATAACCTACAAGGTATTAATTTACTTAAATACCCCGTACCGCGGGGGCTCTGCCGCCGCACCCTCGGCCCAACTAATCGACCCAGCCCAACAAGGGCTCCGCGACCGAGCGAAGTGAGCGGAGTGGAGCGAGCAGGCATCAGTCTGCCTCCTTCTTTTGTCAATATATGAGCCATACCAACATGATCCATTGTTGTGCTCGGGGAAGAACGTTATTATGGCTCGATTTTTTTATTTTTTTTTATTTGTTGTTGGTAATGAAAAGCATACACTTGATCAATTTTATCGGGAGTTTTTTTTTTATCTTTTGTTTTAGTTTTGGTCAGTGTTTTGTGACCCGGACCGGCCCGGCGGGTCGACCCGGGACCCGGTCGACCCGGAGCCGGAACCGGTCCGGGTGGGTTAATTGGACCGGGCAACAACGGACCCGGTCAAACCCGGTCAAAACCCGGTCGACCCGGCCTTGACCCGGTCGACCCGGAGCATTGACCCGGTCTATATGTATTTTTTTATTTTTTTTTGTTTTTTAATTTTCTTTTTCTTTTTAAAAAATAAAATTATGTATATATATTTATATGATAAATATATACATATTATTACCACTTTAATCTACAAATTTTACATACAAAATATTTAAATTTGTTATTTTTATGTATATTTATATATCACAAAATACTCTATATATAATTTTATAAATTTTAAAATTAATTATCCGGTTCAGCAATTGACCCGGTGACCCGACGGTTGAACCGGTGACCCGGTGACCCGAAGACCTCCCCGGGTCGATTACCGGGCCGGGTTTAAAAACTATGGTTTTGGTTTTCATTTACTTTTTCCTCTTTTTGTTTCCCCTTTTAATGGAAGAAGAGCAATTAACTGCGACAACATATCTTTTGTACAAGAAAGTGTGAATAAATTTATTAATTGTGTGGGATTCTGATGTAATTTACATGAGTAATGATTGAGAAGTATACATGGACAAAATGCCTGTTCCCGAACTGGTTTTGGCTCAACTGTTTCGAAAATGTGTTTTCCTAGACGGGGTTTAAATAAATTGGACTCGTGCTTAGTTATTTATTTGAGTGAGATAATGATATTTTGGCCATATTTGGAAGATAGCGGATTAAACTTAATTGAGATTTGACCCGTCAAATCTGCTAATAAATAATAATATGTCATCTATATGATTAATTTATCTAGAAAAATATAAAATTCGTAACTTCTTAATCAAGTGTTAGTAAATTTCAAAAAAAAAAAATATTTATAAATTACCAACTAAAGAATATTAAATGTTTTAATATATTATTATTAAAAGAATACATACTAAATAATAAAATGTCCTTATTAGTAATTTGCAATGTCAAACATCTATAAGCTTTCAGCTATTTACTACACACTTATTCAAAAACCGCTAATGCAATCCACTGGTCAAATCAGCTAATATAATCCGCTATCCGCTAATACAATCCGCTATCCGCTATCCACTATCCGCTGATCGCCAAACAAGGCCTTTGACTTATGACATGTCAGTTAAGCTGTTTATATATCCTTACCTTGAGAATCAAAGTTCTGGTAGTTCTCTTACATTACGAAAGAAGATGGCATGATGCGTTGAACTGTCTAGTAATCTTAGATCTCGTAATCGTCTTCAGTTCTGGCGGTTCCACTGGTATTCGTAAAATTGGATGTCTTTTCTTCGTCATCCTAGTTAGCATGGTCGTTTTTACCCTTCGTTCAGCTTTTTCTCAATCACTCAGCAATATTTGAGCCTCCAAATTTTGCAGCGTCAGCCTTGACTGATGCTTCTAATATATATACCCCTCACTAAATGCTTGATCAACCACCTAAGTTTAGAGAAAGGGCGACGCTAACATGAAGCGATGACTATAGATTTAGTGTGTGAAGAAGAGAGTTATCATATACATAGTAAATCAGCTTTTTGTAACAGATAGAGTCATATTAAATCCTCCATTATCTAGTAAAATACCATCAAGATGAAAAATCGATCTTTATGTATATATGCAATTTAATTTGAAAAATTTAGTTAGTTTGTAAATAATTGTAAATCAATCTTTAGGCATATACGCAAATAAATTTAACAAATTTAGTTACTTTTTAAATATTGTATAAGGGATATAATTGTGTAATAAAAATGGATCAATTACGTGGAACGGGGGCATGCTTGTTTACAAATTAATTTACTCGCATTTATTTCATACTCAAAATCTAACTCAACCCTACTATCATCAATATTATTCATATAATCCCAAACCAATCATTTTTACAGTCACATCAACTTTAATTCACTATTTTCTTCACTCACATAATTTCAACTACATGTCATTTCTAATTATTTATCTCTTATTTTTACATCGAATCAATTTAATTATTTTATTTTAAATATTATTTTAATATATTTTTTAAACCCCACTAACTACTGATCATACCATATTTTTAAAAATTAACTTTAGTTAATCAAAATAACTCATTTTGAACAGATTATTTGATAAACGAGCGCACCCTAATTTTATCTCCCTCTTTTTTTTTTTTCTTTTTTTTGGGTAATAAACCGGCCTGCCTAGTTGGAGCATATGGGCCAAAACAGTCGTGGCTAATTATCATCAGCCCAAACATGATTTGAATTAACGAGTTCAAATCACAACACACTTCATCTTCAACAAACTGCCTATTAATATTACCAATTATAGTATTTGTTTTCAGAACTCATCAGTTTTTGGGATCTCATTAACAGCGGGCAGAGTAACTCAGGGAAGATGACGATGTTCCACTTCTTGAACTGCGCGATTTTGACGTTTGGCCCTCACGCCGTCTACTACTCCGCCACTCCCCTGTGAGTTTTATTTGCCATTTTTTTCTTTAATTTGCTTTTTGAACCCTTCAATTTGGTGAATTTGTTCGGCGGATCTATTTGAGTTAAACGGGGATTCTTTTACCCTTGCTGCCGGAATTATTCTGCTTTGTGCCGTTATGTTCTGTTCAAGTGTTTTGATGTTCTCGTGTTCTGCTCGATGTAAATTAGGTATTTTTGTGGCTGGTAGATATTTGAATTTAATTGACATAGTTAGAGTAGATGCCATTAGTGGAGCTGGGTTTTGAATTTGTACAAAAGAATGGTGATTTTGGCCGGTTGAATGATATTGTTTGAGTATTGAGTTTTTTTTTTTTTTTTTGTTATTCAGAGGTGGAAGCTATTTATTATCTTGTAACAGTTTACTTTCCTGAAAGTTGAGCTTTGTTTATTTCACTAATAAATTATGTTGGATAAAATGATGGGTGTATTGACCAGTTTTGTTGAACAGATCCGAGTATGATACAATCGGCACCTCGATTAAAGCAGCCGTTGTTTACCTTGTAACAGCATTAGTAAAGGTTAGACATAGTGATCAGGAATTCGGGATGAGAGTGGCTCCTTTTTTGGTTTTGCATTTTTTCTTCATTGCTTTTAATTTTCCTAAATTGCATTCCGTTGCAGCTTGTTTGTCTTGCAACATTTCTCAATGTATCGGAAAGTGACAGTTTTGACCCATATCAGGTATTATACACAATCTAAGTTTAATCATATTCCATAGGGGAATCACTGTACATGAATGGTAATTTTTGTATATCCAATGCTTTGAAAACTGGTAAAGACTTAATTTTCGTGTCCTCAAACTGTTTACACAATTGCTTTACCTTATAAGCACGAAATGAATATCACCATCAAGGTTCTGGTCTAACTGTGTATGCTGTGTTTGTTGTGTGCGTAGGAAAGCATTTATATGTTTGCTATTATGTCATATTAGTTTTGCAAATTTGATCTATCCCTCCTCAAAAAAGCTTAATGAGCATTTATGTGATTCAGTTTTCTAATTTGTTTGAAAATCTAGTTTTAATTCTCATTAAATCTTTCTCAGGAATTATTGAAAGCGTTGATTGGGTTCATAGATGTTGCCGGGCTTTATTTTGCCTTGACACAGTTAACTCATAGGAATATTTCTCAAAATCACAAATTTCAAGCTGTTGGACTTGGTGAGTATATCGTTCTCAACATTCTGCTCCTGTTTGATGACAAATTAAATTACAATAGTGGAATTGACTGAGCAGAATAAGTAAGGGCCTAATATACTAGTTTTTTTTTTTCACTTTTCTGGATTAATACATTTCACCAGCTTCATGTTACTTCTTGTTCTATTTTAGGACCAAGATGTTTGAGAAAAAGAAAGAAAATAAAATAAAAGAAAGAGCATTGAGTGAAAAATCTAAATACCCTAACAACCACCACTATATTGGTTTATTTCCCACTAGAGTGTCAGAGTAAAAGATTATTGAGTGAAAGTTTTAGTAGGCCTTCCTTTGTTTTTAACAACCTTTTTGTTCTATTATGATTAAGTGTTGTCTCGAAACCATATTACCTGTCCTTATACTCCTGTCTTAAGTTGTGGGAAAACGTAACACACTCAATAGATTGTTCATGGAAAAAGGGGGCTCATTTGTTTTTGAAATGAAATGATAAATGCAAGCTTTAAACTTGTTTATTGGTAATCTTCACTTGAATTTTGCATGTACTGGGTAAATCAAAACCTCCAACAACCGATTTAAGGAGAAGCACTTTATATATTTTCTATATTTGTTTCTTTTCTTTTGGCATTTAAGGTTTTATTTCGCTTTTACAGGTTGGGCGTTTGCTGATTCAGTGCTCCATAGGCTGGCTCCACTTTGGGTGGGTGCTAGAGGTTTAGAGTTCACTTGGGACTACATTTTGCAGGGGCTTGAATCTAATGCTAATTTGGTATGATTTTCCTAGTCCTACCGAAGTAAACTTCCAATTCAACGTATAGTTTTTGGGTTCGTTAGAAAACACTAGTCCTGAGATTTAGCCAAATTACTAAAAAGGAAAGAAAATGGCCATTCTTCAATAAGACAAATTGCATCCTCAAGAGGGGGCCCTGAATGGCCATCTTTGTGTTCTCATATGCAATGGGAGCTAAAACTTCAAGGTTAGTTCTTGTAAGTGTTCCTATAGATGTTTGTAAGTCTTATGAAATCTGTTTCTGGCCAATATTTCAGGTGTTGAGTGTATCCCTAGCTGCATTAGGTTCTTTGATCTGGCTCAGGAAAAACAAGCCCAAGACTTTGATTCCCATTATATACGCTTGCGCGGGTATTGTGGCAACAATGCCATCTATTACAAGGTACATCTGCTCACAATAGCTTTAAGATGTGTTGGTTTCTTTATGATTGAAGGACCTTATCTTTAATCTAGTTTGTGGTGTTGGTATGATTTTACATACAGTTACCTGAAAGGAGGCTTGGGATGGCACTTTCCGAAGGTGGTAGGATTCGAGTTGTTCACTTCTTTAATAATGGCTTTCATTAGCTGGCAGCTTTTTTCCGCATGCCAGAGGCCATCTAACTGAAGGTTCATCAAGATTAACTAATATTATTGTTTAGTAGCAGTCTCATTTCTTTCGTGCCTTTTCTTTTTCCCTTTGTAAGCGGAGTTCATTTTGCCTACATTAGTCCGATCTTGTAGAATTTTCATACGATTCGGATTTCCTTTTGGCATCTGTTAATCTTTGTGTTGTCGTTGTAACTCAATGAAATTTTGGATGGTCAAAAGCGCTGGTTGTTTGTTTGCATATTCCCGAAGCTTAGAGCGTGCTTGTTTACGAATTAATCTGCTCAAAATGAGTTTTTTTTTTTTTTTGTTTAATTATGGTTAATTTTTAAAAAATGTGGTATGGTTAGTTGTTAGTAGGATTCTGAATTATATTAAAGTTATATTTAAAATAAAATAATTAAAGTTGACTTGATGTAAAAGATTAAAAGTAGGAGAGAAATTGTGTGAAGTGATAAAATTATGTGAGTGGAGGAATAGTAAATTAAATTTGATGTGATGTATAAGAAAAATTATTTGTATTATTTAATTATGTGAATACAACAACAAAGTCTTTTAGTCTCAAACAAGTTGTGATAGGCTAGAGATGAAACTCAAGAGATCGGAGCAAATGAGAAAGAACAAAAGTCACGGTTCCGGCACGTTGATCGCTAGTCTCCAAGCGCTCTTATCCACCGTTAAATCCTTGGAGATATTTCAATTTTTAAGATCTCTCTGAACCGACTCTCCTCAAGTGAGTTTAGGCCGACCTCTACCTCTCTTAACATCATCGACCCGCTGTATAACTCTCCTACGCACCGGTGCATCAGGAGGCCTCCGTTGGACATGTCCAAACCACCTCAGCCGATGTTGAACCAATTTCTCTTCAAATAAATATTAAAAATAATAGAATTAGTTTAAATAAATTAAATTTTAAGTATGAATTAAAATTAGTCTAAAAATGTAAATGCAAACGAATCAGATTCAAACAAATCCTGTCGAGCGACAAGAGAATCAGTGAATTAAAATGTGTCTAAAAGTAAAAGCCAACAAAGATGCCTCTGCATGCTGCATTGGAAATTGATATTGGTGGGCCCCACGTTCCCATTCGCCCAATTGTTTCTGCCGATCGAAAAAAAAAAAAAAAAAGTTGCAAGAACCAAATACAATCATTCGCATTGAGGGGAAAATCATAGTACTAGTACAACTGCATAAACTTTACTATAAACTTTATACTCCATACAACTGCTCAATACCGGCTCGACAAGCCTATCACAACCCTTCTCCTTTACCGGGCTTTAGACCTGTTCTGCTACGAGACAACATAAGCAGAGTTATAGTACTAATTTATAGCCGATCGAAATTTTTTTAAGCTTATCAGCAAATGGCATCATAATTATGCAGTATCATCAGCTAATTAAATACAATACTTAGACTAAAGTATAGGTGAGTGAGGAACTAAAACAGTAGTGACTAACTAGTGACTGCTATCAATATCAAGAATTCTTCTTCTCAGTTCAGTGACTGCTAATTAGTAGAAAAAAAAAAATGGATGCAATTAAAAGTCTTGAACAATTTTCATGGATGACTGCATTTACAGTAGCGGGTATTGGTTTGTTCTCTCTGTGGCTCATCAATGGTTATTCGAAGAAAGGCCGTAAAACGACGTCTTCAGGCCTCCCGCCTCCACCTCGTAAGTCATCCTTCTTCTTCTTCTTTTTTTTTTTCGCACATGATGAACTTAGTATTTGTGTTTTGTGTAATCAAGTTGAGGTTTTGTGTTTTCCACTTTGGACCCTTTTTCATCTATAGGATGGATGTGTGTTTAGTTTTTGATTAAGGAGTACTTACCAAAAAAAGGGTGGATTTCAGCACGGTATGTGTTTGTAGAAATGCTTAGCCGACGTTTGATGAATTGAGCTGTTTTGGAATGACGAACTTTCACCTAAATGCATGTTCATGGCCAAACAAGAAACTTTTTCCACATTTATTACATTAATCGGATAAGGAAAAATGGTGGATTGAATGCAGAGATACCGGGCTTGCCCGTGATTGGGAACCTGCTGCAACTGAAAGAGAAGAAACCTCACAAGACTTTCGCCAGATGGGCCGAGAGATACGGCCCGATCTATTCCATTAGAACTGGCTCCACATCACTCGTGGTCCTCAACTCTAATGATGTTGCAAAGGAGGTGAGTGCAATTTAATTGGGCAAAGCTTATTTGAAATCTTTTTTTTTTATTTTTTCCCCGAAATTCTGATGTATGAACAACATGCCCCGACTCACGATGTGGTTCTGGTTTTTCTTTCATAGGCTATGGTTACTAGATTCTCATCCATCTCAACGAGAAAGCTGTCTAATGCGATAAAGATCCTTACTTGTGATAAAAACATAATTGCACTGACTGATTATGGTGAACATCATAAGATGGTCAAGAAGAATATTCTCACTAGTACTTTGGGACCTAATGCTCAGGTATGAGCATTTATTGCATTCAGGGGAAAGCCTTCATTTTTCTTTTTCCAATACCATTGTATTATATCCTGGAAGATTTAACCAACTCTAGTTTTGTTTATTATTTTAGAAGCGCCATCAAATTCACAGGGATACCATGATAGAAAACGTGTCGAAACACTTGATAGCTTGCCAGAAAGAGAATCCTATGGCAGCTGTGAATTTCAGGAAAATATTCCAGTCTGAACTCTTTGGGCTGGCATTGAAACAAGTAAGTTTATCCAGCATATGTTGCTCCCTTTAATTGAGGAATTGCATTGGATTAACTGAGCATTAGCTTTTTTTTTTTTTTTTTTTCCATGTAAATGAAGCTTTCCATTGTAAGGAATAGTTTGATAATAAGAAGCTGGATGTGTTTGTAGATAAATTGATAAAAAATTTAAAATTCTATTTAATCAATTGTACAACTATTTGAAGTGTCGGCGTAAATCAAACTGTCCCACTACTTTTAGGTTCTGATTAAATTATGGAATATCAAGAAACGCAAGTGTTAAGAAGGCTAAGATGTATTTATTCTTTCCCTTGTTAAAATTTAACCAAAAGTTAACAAATACTTTCTCAAAAGCTTGCAGTCTCCCTGAAAACTAAAATTGTGAAAGCTGTATTTGTCTTCAGGTTCTTGGACGTGATCTGATGTCTATATATGTTGAGGAGCTTGGACAAACTTTGTCAAAGGAGGACATATTCAAAATTTTGGTGGTTGATCCCATGAAAGGTGCCATTGAGGTTGACTGGAGGGATTTTTTCCCCTATCTAAAATGGATACCAAACAGGACCTTCGAGAAAAATATCAAACAAATGTATTCTCGTAGGCAAGCTGTGATGACTGCACTCATCAACGAACAAAAAGAACGGATTTCTCGAGGAGAGGTACATTTTATGTGCTTAAATAAATTCCATTTGCTCAATTATTTGAGTGGTTGAAGCATAATTACACTAATTTTTTCTTACCAGGAAGTGAATTGTTACCTCGACTACTTGTTATCAGAAGCAAAAACATTGTCTGAACAACAGATTCTAATGCTGTCATGGGAAGCCATAATCGAATCATCAGATACCACTTTGGTCACGACCGAATGGGCCTTGTATGAACTCGCTAAAGATCCCGAAAGACAGGTGGAAATATTTGTTCTTCACATAATTGATTTATCAGTTAGTTGAACTTCTTCACTTGGTGCACAACATGATCTCTTTTTTTTTTTCTTATTAAATGCAAATAGGATCATCTATATAGGGAAATTGAAAGTGTTTGTGGGAATGAAAAAATCACGGAGAAAAAGTTGAGTGAACTCCCATTCTTGTCTGCAGTTTTTCATGAGACTTTGAGAAAATACAGTCCAGCTCCCGTAATTCCCCTGAGATTCGTTCATGAAGATACGCAAATAGGAGGATATGACATTCCAGCAGGAACTGAGGTACCTAACTAATCTTCTATTTCTATGGGCATTTATGCTCGCTCTACTTCGATATTTA